AAGCTATATCATCAGCTATTCTTTAAATCAACACATTCGGCTGTATTAGCTTTACAGCTAATGTTAGCTTCATATTTTTCTCTGTTTGAGCTTGGAGTCCTTTCAATATAGCTAATATGAATGGAAATATTTCTAATAATAAATAGGACACAGTTATTTCTCTAACTTCATCCTTGCCCGGTCTGTATTCTCACTCTTAATGTCCATAGAAATTACTTTGTCTTTACAGTGATTACTTTTTCTTTACATGAGTGATCGTTCACCAGGATGGGTTTTTGTTGGTATGTGTCAAAGAGTAACAAGCTGTCTTTACAAGAACAGAACTAAGCGTCATGATGGAGCATCACCCAGAAGGTTTCTGAATTGTGAGAATGAGTACATTATGCAAACCTGGGTCTTGCCTGAAGGGTGAGAGACAAGAAGCCTAGAAATACGTTGACACCATTTGTGAAGTGAGAAACAGACCTCATTCTTGTGCAATGTGAAACACTTTGCACAAGCCCAGGTAGATGATGTCAGCTGCCTTGCCCCAGTCCATCAGTTCTGTAGCCCCATCACAGAAGGCCACCAGATTGGTCAGGCAGGATTTCCCCTTAGTGAAGCCATGCTGGCTGTCACCAAGCACCTTGTTGTTTTTTCATGTGCCTTAGCATGCCTTCCAGAAGAATGTGCTCCAAGATTTTGCCAGGCACAGAGGTGAGACTGACTGGTCTGTAATTCCCTGGGTCTTCTTCTGTATTATAGTTCTATTTTTCCAGTCGTCAGGAACCTCACTGCCATGACTTTTCAAATAGGATGGCCAGTGGCTTAGCAACTTCATTTGCCAGCTCCTTCAGGACCCGCGGTTGGATTTCATCAGGTCACATGAGCTTGTGCACATTCAGGTTTTTAAGATCATCTTGAACCTGATCCTTTCCTACAGTAAGCCTAAGGTCTTCATTCCTACAGTCCCTGCATCAGCCTTCCAAGACTTGGGAGTCATGGTCAGAACCTTTGCCAGTGAGGACTGAGGCCAAAAAGTCATTGAGAACATTAGCCTTCTCCAAATCCAGGGTAGCCAGTTCTCCTGATAGCTTTTGGACAGAGCCCACATTGTCCTTAGTGTGTCTTTTGTTTGCTACATACCTATAGAAGCCCTTCCTGTTATCCTTGACATTCCTTGCCAGATTTCATTCTAACTGGGACTTAGCTTTCCTGACCTGGTTCCTAGCTTCCCAGATAACATCCCTGTATTCTTTCTAGGCCACCTCTCCTTGCTTCCACTACTTATCAGCTTTTTTTTCCCCCTCTTTCTTCAGCATCTCCTTATCCATCCAAGGAGGTCTCCTGGCCCTCCCACCCCATTTCCTTCTAGTTGGGATGCAACACTCCTGAGCCTGTAGCAGGTGATCCTTGATACCAACCAACAGTCATGGCCCCCCCTGCCCTCTAGGGCTTTATCCCATGGAACCTTACTAAGCAGGTTCCTGAAGAGGCCAAAGTCTGCTCTCTTGAAGTCCAGGGCAGTGAGCTTGCTGCATGCTCTTCTCACTGCCCGCAGGATCTCGAACTCAATCATCTCATGATCGCTACTGTGAAGGCTGCCCTGGAGCGTCACTTTTCCAACCAGCCCTTCCCTGTTGGTGAGCACAAGTTCAAGCATGGCACCTCTCCTTGTTGGCAGCTCTGTTACTTGCAGAAGGAAGTTGTCTTCCACACAATCGAGGAACCTCCTGGATTGCTTATGCCAGGCCGTACCGTTGTTCCAACAGATGTCAGGATGGTTTAAGTCCCCCATGAGGACAAGGGCCTGTGAGCATGAGGCTACTCCTATCTGTCTATAGAACGCTTCATCCACAGAGTCCTTGAGCCTATAACCTTCCATTCCAACACTCCAGTCATAGGAGCCATCCCACCATGTTTCTGTGATGCCTGTTACATCCACCCCCATAGATGTGCACACATCTCTAATTCCTCTTGTTTGTTCCCCATACTACAGGCGTTTGTATAGAGGCATCTGAGCTGAGCTCCAAATGAAGCCGGCTCATTGCCTGGAGCAGCTGGAATATATCTACATTGCTCCGAGCATTTATTATAGGTGCTGGCAACTGACTGGGAGTGTTGGGATGGAATGATGCCCCATTTCCCCAACACATCTAGTTTAAAGCCTCCTTGACCAGTCTGGCAAGCCTCCTACCAAAACTGCTCTTCCCAGACCAGCTCCACCAGCCCCCACTAGACCTGGCCTACAAACTTGGATCCCGTGTTCAAGACACCCAAACCCCTGACTGTGACACCACCCTTTTAACCATTTATTAACCTGGCTAATCCTCCTAGCTTTTTTTGGGTCCTCCCCTGTATCCTGGATAATTGACAAAAAGACTATCTGAGCTCCAGAGCCCTTAACCACCTCTCCCAGGGCTCTGTAGTCCTTTATGTTCCCCAGGCTACTGACTGTCTATATCCCTAGCACCCACATGGACCACTAGAAGTGGGTAATAGTCAGTGGGACTTTAGAGCAGGCAGCCTCTCTACAACATCCCTGATCCGTGCCCCTGGTAGGCAACACACCTCCCTTGAGACCGGGTCAGGCTAGCAGACGAGTGCTTCTGTCCCTTTCAAAGTAGAGTCCCCTACTACTATGACCCGCTGCTTTTTGCTGGCAGCACCAGTAGAGATCTTCTTTACCAGTGCATCAGCCGGCTGTTTCTGGTGCGAGTGCGTTTCCTCATTAGCCTCCAGCAGGACAGCAGTGCGGCTCTGCGTGGGGACAACAGATTTAGGAGGAAGTCCCTTGCTTTTAATTGTCCTTTTCCTCCTTGTTGGGTTGTTTTTTGTTTTTTGGGTTTTTTTTTTTTGTCACTAATTCCCAGCTTCCCAGGTTAATGGCCTCCTTCTTTCCTCCATGAGCTAGAGGGGAAGCTTGAGGCCCCTGCACAGTTTGGGTCTGAAGCAAGCAGCCCTGCTTCCTCTCAGCTACCCTGACATCTTGCAGCCTATTAACAGCATCCCGCAGCTCAGCCCCTGCTGCAGGAGGACCTCCACCAGGGAGCACCGAGTGCAGCCCTGCCCATTGTGCACCTTAGCCTCGCAAGAGCAGTGCAGGCACTCTCTACACTCCAGCTCTGCACTGCAACCTCCCCTCTCATGGGCTCTGTCTGGGTGCCTACGGTGGCCACCGCCACACAGCACTGCACCAGCTACAGGGAAGAGAATTAATTCTGTCCCAGCCAAAAAACAGGACAGTATCCACCCCTTTCACGTCATGCCAGGTCTCACACTTCCCACCATCACCTTCACTGCCTTTTGATAGAGATATACATATATATATACTTACACACACACAGAGAGGTAGCATTCCCTTAGCCTATGGAGCATCCCTACGGAAGCTGGTTGAGTTCATTCGGTGCACAACTCGTGGCCCTCTCTGTCACAGCAATCTCTGTGGGCAGGAGAGATGGATGGTGTGTGCTGTGGGATGGTTGCACACTGAGGCCAGCTCCAGATTCCATCACCACTGCACTTGGCTGGTGGTATCAAAGTTGGTTCTTTGTTACTGTGGTGATCTAAAGGCCGTCAGGTTCAGACTTTACCAGCTACTAGGAAGAGGATTAACTCTATCCCAGACAAAACCAGGGCAGTTTGAACCCTAAAATGAGGGTTTGGAGCCCCAAAAGGAGTATTTCAACAGCAGAATCTGAGCTTTGGACCCTAAAAATAAGGCTTTGGGACATAAACTGGGGCTTTGAGCCCTAGAAGAGGGGTTTGGACCCTCCAAATGAGGGTTTGGACACTCAAGATGCTGCTTCGATCTAGAAAATGCCTGACTGGATCCTAAAAAAAGACACCCTAGAATCTGAAAAGGAGACTTTGTAAACTGAACCTGAGCCTTTGGACCCTGCAAATGAGGCTTTGAAGCCAAAAATTAGGCTTACGAAGCAAAACCTAAGACTTTGGATAGTCAAAAGGAGGCTCTGAAAGGAGGCTTTGGACACTATAATACAGGCTTTGGACTCCAAAAAGGAGTCTTTCCTTTTCCCATTTCCCTCTCCTCTCCTTTCCTCTCTTCCCTTCCCTTTCCCTCTCCTCTCTTCTCCTTTCTGCTTTCATAGAATAGTTAGGGTTGGAAAGGACCTTAAGATCATGAAGTTCCAGCCCCCCTGCCATGGGCAGGGACACCTCGCTCTAAACCATATCACCCAGGGCTCTGTCCAACCTGGCCTTGAACACTGCCAGGGATGGAGCATTCACAACCTCCCTGGGCAACCCATTCCAGTGCCTCACCACCCTAACAGGAAAGAATTTCCTCCTTATATCCAATCTAAGCTTCCCCTGTTTAAGTTTTAACCCATTACCCCTTGTCCTACCACTACAGTCCCTAATGAAGAGTCCCTCCCCAGCATCCCTTTAGCCCCCCTTCAGATACTGGAAGCTGCTATGAGGTCTCCACGCAGCCTTCTCTTCTCCAGGCTGAACAGCCCCAACTTTCTCAGCCTGTCTTCATACGGGAGGTGCTCCAGCCCCTGATCATCCTTGTGGCCCTCCTCTGGACTTTTCCAACAGATCCATGTCCTTTTTATGTTGAGGACACCAGAACTGCACAAAGTGCTGCAAGTTCCTGTTTTGTGAGCATGTGTAAGGAGACAGGACAGGGAGGAGGGAAACCCTTTGTTTTTAAAAAGGATGAGGTGAAGACACACACCTATGGACACCGGGAGGAGAAGGCTGCACCGGCACCCGCAGATGTGTGAGGGTTATAATGGACATTATTCCTTACATACCGCTGAGGGGTAACTAAAGCGGTGCCCTCACGGCTCCGCCTGCCTCACACCAGTGCAGGCACGGCTCCCATTGATGGCTCCTGGGCCCATCCCCACCCGTAGCGGGGCATCACACGGGTGACACCTCCAACACCGCCACCAGCGGCTCCCGGCTGCCCCCTGCCGGCAACTGGGCCCCGCCACAGGGCCCTCGGCAGCCGCCATGCGCAGCGCCCCCTGCCCCTTCGCTGCGTGCCCGCCGCCATGGCGTGCCCGGCCGCTGGGATGGTGCCGGTGTTGCCGGGGCTCTACGTGGGCGGCGCGGGGTCGTGCTCGTCCCCGGAGTCGTTGGCGGCGGCGAGGGTGGTGGCGGTGCTGACGGTGGACGCGGAGGAGCCGCCGGCCGTGCCGGGGTTACGGGCCATGCACGTACGGGCGCTGGACGAGCCCCACGCCGACCTGCTGAGCCGCCTGGATGAGTGCGCCGTCTTCATCGGCGCCGCAAGGGCGGGCGGCGGCGCTGCCCTCGTCCGCTGGTGAGCGCCGCGGCGGCGGGGGACAGGCCGCTTCCTTCTCCCCCGTTCTGCGCTCCTCACAGCCTGCCCTGCCCTGTCCTTGCAGCCAGGCCGGGGTGAGCCGCAGCGTGGCCGTGGTGACCGCCTACCTCATGAAGACACAGGGACTCGGCTGGGAAGAAGCCTACGCCGCCGTCAGGGCCGCCAAACCCGACGCCGAGTGGGTCCCTTTTCCCCCCCCTCCCCGGCCGCCGCCGCCCGCTGTCCCCTGAGCCCGCTCTCCTCTCGCCCCGCCGCAGGATGAACCCGGGTTTCCAGGCGCAGCTGAAGCTCTACGAGGCCATGGGCTGCGCCGTGGACAGCAGCAGCGCCCTCTACAAGCGGTACCGGTTGCAGATGCTCACGGAGAGGTACCCCGGTGAGTGGCGGGGGCGATGTGCGCCTCGGCGGGTGCGTGGAGAGAGGCTTCGGGCAGTGTCCCAAGGAGGGTGGTCCCTGTGGGACCAGGGCTGTCCTAAAGGGAGCACAGAAGGCCGTGTCAGAGGTGGTTGACTTGGAGTATTGCGCTCAAAGCAATTGGGTTGGCTAGGCAGACAGGCACATTGTACTGGCCCTAAAGAATTCCAGCTCATCAGTGGGGAAAAATGTGTCCCTGAGAGAAGCCCGAGAAAAGAGGTCTGTAAGGAACTGCTCTCTTTAGCACAATGCAGAAATGGTAAAGGTCAGTTTGATTTGTTTCCTGGTTTTTACGTACCTGGCTGAGCAAAGTGCACATCCTCTAAAAAGAAGTCAACAATAACAAAATCAGCAAATGCAGAACTGAGATAGAGCTCAAAAATCAAGATACGAAGTAAACTTTTATACTTTGATTTGCCAAGGGTGACTGCAGTATAAATGTGTGCGGATGCATAACCTTATAAAACAATCACAATCCATAGCTTTTTTGCAGGATCCGAGCGTTGCATATTCAGCATGACAGTGCTGTCTCCCCTTAGGTGTCATTCTTCTTAGCAGGCCCTGTTCATAAGCTGACTTGTGTGCACTGAAAGACTGGCAGAACTGTTCTAACTCCTTCCCTGCCTTTACTTTCTATGAACATAAAGCAAAGTGCAACTATTTCACCCTTGTTAAGGCTGAAGTCTAGATCCTGGTTCCTTGTATTAAGTGAATCCCAGTCTTAGGTGTGGTGGGGCAAGGCTCCTTCATTTTTACCTTATCTAATGGATGTGGACAAATGGATGTGATGAAGGTGAGTTGTGCATGCTGGGGCAGAGGTGCAGCGCTGCCCTGTCCCACATGCAGCACAGCTGCATCCATCTGATTCCCAACTTGGTACTGACACCTCTGCAGAACTTCGAGACGTGCCCCGAGAGGTCTTTGCTGTTGATCCAACCAGTGTATGTCAGGCTCCAAACACAGAGGTTCTCTACAGGTGCAGGAAATGCAGGTACTGAACTTTCTCTATTTCTCCGTAAGATGTAATTTTGTAATGGACTCAAAACAGTCTGTGTAAATCATTGTCATTGATAGGACAGGGATGTGCTCTTGCCCAAGGTTCTGTGCCATGTGTGCCCCCAAAATCAGACAAATCTTATGGAATAGAATTTCTTGTTCCTTGGGGTTGTATGGCACTTGTGCAGCCTGATCTGCTGCCTGCTATGGACCAGCATAATTCCACTTGGCTCTGAGCAGCTTGCTCTGAGCCCATAACTTCTAGTTTGTTTTTGACAGTTTCTCCAGAAGAAACTTCTAAATGTGTAGGTTTACTGCATTTTAACTACCTTTTATGGCTTGTTTTAAGTGAAACTGAATAATCCTGCTGTTTCCTAGGTGTAGGTTTCTTCACATATATGAACATAAAGTTTTTGTAGGCAGGAATTGTTTGAAAACAGGTATAGATAAAAGCATACAAGTGGGGCAGAGCCCAAAACTACACCAATCACTAGATGTGTCAAGAAAGAAACCACTGCCTTCTAGACTAGACAAAAACAACCCCAAACCATAGCGTTTGCAATCCTATTTACTGGCAGGAGGTCCTCGTCCTTATTTCCTGTTGTCTGTAGTTTCCCTAGTAAAAACCCAGTTACTTTACTTCTTTTTCCCTTCTGTGTCGTGGTGTGCAGGCGTGCTCTGTTCCGTAGTTCCAGCATCCTGTCCCACACAGAAGGAAGTGGCCCGACAGCCTTTGCCCACAAGAGGATAACGGACTCTGCTCAGCTTTGTGGTGACACCCATGAGAAGTGTACCTCTTACTTCACTGAGCCTGTGCAATGGATGGAGCCAGCATTGCTCGGAGTAATGGAAGGACAGGTGATGGGCAGCATGCGCTTTAGTCTTGGATTTTACTCTTTCTAAGAGGCAGAACAAACTGTTTCTGTTCCCTGACACAGGTCTACCAGCCTTTCTGGCATGAATTTTCCAGCTTGTGAATAGATTCTTATATATGCTTTTACAAGGAAAGGAGCTGCTGATCGTGTTGATCTGCTGTTTCGTTTTAGTGTAGGAAAAGAGCTTGTGGTACTTAAATCTGCTGTGGTCTTGCACTGACTTGAGGCTGTCTGGAGACTGGCAGAACTGTCCTGGAACCACACCAGGTCCAAGTAGCTGCATTTCCACACCATCCCTTCTGCCAGCACAGCTGCCTGCTATACCCTAGGGCTAAACAGCCCTGCCAGGTTAGCTTTTTTTGTCAGGTTTTCAGCCCATTTACCATTTCTGAAGTGTTAAAGGGAAGGACCTGGCTCTGCAGAGGTTGTCACAATCGATGTGCCATAGAAGTACACTGAAGTAACTCTCCATCTGCATGTGCCTTAGACTGGATCATGCTTTTTTCTTGCAGCTGCTGTGTCCCAAATGCACATCGAAGCTGGGCTCCTTCAGCTGGCGGGGTGAGCAGTGTTCCTGCGGCCGCTGGGTGACACCTGCCTTCCAGATCCACAAAAGTCGTGTGGATGAAGTGAGAACGCTGCCGGTCGGGAACTTCCACAGTGCCAAAACCTGAACTGCTCGCTTCTCTCGATGGAGTTCTTACCATCCACAGAGAGCTGCCAGGCTGCAGTCGCCAGGGCTGAGCTTGTCCCCTCCACCCCTTTGTGAGGCAGTGGAATTACTTGCGTATCTGCTCTGATCAAGCTTGCTGTATCTCTAATATGTATATAAAAATAGCAAAACACTTCCATCAAAGAGGTGTTACACACTGGTCACATAGGTACAACAATGCCTCAATACATTGTTTTGTGTGCTGCTATTTACGGGTGGATTTCAACGCCTTATTGAAAAGGAATGCTAACTTCTGATAGCATGCTGGGTATACCCCAGGGGCACAGGGTTGGTTTGATGTAATAAAAGAGGACAGATAAAACCTACTTTAAATCAATTTTATTTTCATTGACTTCAACGTATTTTTTTTTTTACTTTTCTTTTTTACACAATTTCCTGCAACATACATTGTGAAATATACAAGATAAAGTAAGTGGTGGGGTTCTGCCCATCTTTTAGTTCCTCCCACAGCTGTGGAGGGAGGACCTACAGGACACAGTGAACATCAGAATCTCAACACTGAAAACAGACACAAACCAAAAAAGACAAAAATATATATGAAACTGTTTGAACTGGTCACACTTCAGGGCCAGGTACAGCACAATAAATATTAGAACTGCATTATCATAGACATCTTCTGTAAAGTTTTTAACATCCTCTATTTAAAGAGATAAGAACATCTGGTTTCTAGCATGAAATGCTACATAGTACAGTGGTGAAGGGTACAAACAATGAGGAATCCAGCAAGGGCTTGGACAGTGACTACTCATTCACGCATGCTCATTGGTAAAATAAGCAGCATACACCAGAAGTTCAGTGAGCTGTAAACTTAACCATTCACTACCAGGATATCAGCTGGAGGAGTACTTGCTTTTGGGAGGACCAGAAGTAGTTAATCCCTTTAACTTTCAGCCTGGCTCTCCCCCAGCAAACAGCAAGTTGATACTGTAATGGAAGTGGCAGCATTTGGTCCGTAGTGCAAGATCCCTTTGCATCACTGCTGTTCAGAGCTGGCAGCAATACCTCAGTGCAGAATTCATGCTTGCACAGCCATGCTACCCGCATGGTGTCACCAACACTGGGGACTGTTTGATGACATAACGCAGTAAAAAACATCACCTGGAAGCCAGCTGGGTGCAGGCAAGCAGCACTGGATTCCACCCGACACAAGTGAGGCAGACTGGAGAGGATGCAGGCATTTCTGTCTCCACAGCAGTGGGCCCCTGGAGTGCGACAGAAAGGCTGCCCTATTCATTCCTCACCTCTTACTAGTTTTACCAGTCAGCAAGCCCAAGAAGCAGCAGTTTCAGCTGCTTGGCAAGAGTGCTTCCAGAGCACAAGGCCAGAGTCACTGGTTTCTCTTGCATTGCCATCAACACGGCAGGAGTAATTACATTTTGCACTTCCCAGCCTTCCCCTTGATCATCCCCCGCCCCCAGTTTAGCATCATACATTCCTCTTACATGAGAACCAGGGACCTTCTGTGCCACCACCAAACTGGCCACGTGAGCCCAGGTGGAAGAGGAAGGCTGGGCACACGCTTTCCCTTCCCTTAGGACAATCTGGGCATTGCACTGGGAGGCAGAGCACCACCAAGGAAGGACTGCCTTCCTGGTCCACATGCATGGCATCTCCAAATTTACCATCTCCATCCTGCAGCACATGGCAGCAGTCACAAGCTTCACTAACTAAAGCAGCTGAGTGTCATGAAACCTTACAGGGTGAGGGGGAGGCAAGAAGGTCAAATTCTTTTGGAAGCTGAGCACCTATGGCTTTGAGTTTAGCTGATGCAGAGCCCAGCAGTCCTATCTGCATTAAGTAGGAAGATAAAACTGTTTCTCCAGGGTACGGAAGTACACTGGTCACTTGTATGTGTTCATCTTCTAGACAGTCACTTGGAGAGATCTAGAACTACCATGTTTAAACACCAACTGACTCGGCTGAGGGCTGCAGAAGGGACGGAGTAGTGAAGAATTTCTGGTTGTATCAATGTTATCAGCAGAACATGATCAAAACCTCTTTGAGAAGGGGGAGTTCTATGTCATGATAGTCACTTAGCAAAGCGCCAGATGTAAATGCCCTTACCCCTGCCAGCTCAGAACGTACCGCGTGACTGCATTAAGATGTACACCTCCTCTGCCAGTACAGCTCAGCTGGATACATCCCAAGGTGAAAGACCAGTTACCAAGAGAGCTGGGAGAGGCAAAGTGAAATTCTTCCCACCCTAGAAGCGTACAACAGCATTTCTTCACTCAGCCAGGCCCATTCACACAACACTCACCATTTCAGACACACAAAGCAATGCCAAACACAAATTAGGAGGAATGTTTTGTAAGGACACTCTCTGAGTATGAACAGGGAAAACATAGGGCTATTTATCAACTCAAGTACTGTTGCATCATTCTTGTAAGGTAGGGAAGCAGAGGAGCTGAGATGAGGAATTGAGAGGACAAACTGGAGTGGTCACAGAGGTCAAGTCTAGTCTTCCAGACTGCGAAACGCATTCTGCATATCCTCAAACAGCTGAGCATAGTCTGCCTTGATTTTTGTTTCACCATCTTTGACAGGGTCCTGAAAGATAACACAGCAAGTGAACAGCTCCATGAGGAAAAAGCCTTGGGTACTTTAGACAACCCTGCTTTGCCAGTGCTGTCATTTCTTGCCCTTGGGATTAACCCTTGCCAACTGCAGAGCAAGCATTATAGCTCCCATCTGTCTCACTGACAGCCACAAGGTTTAAATCTCATCCTCTTGCCACATTCAGGGAGTAGATAGGATGGATCCTGGACATTTTCTTTCATGAGCAGTGGTTACTTCATTGCAAAGCAATCGATTTGGAGAGGACTCAGTAATAGAGAGGGTCTTAGTTAATGCTATGTGATTGATGAGCTGCAGTGGTTAGTGCAAACTCCTATCCCCAAACCAAGCGGAGCAAGCCTCACTGTGACTCAGAAATGCTCTGCTGTACTTTCTGGGGTGCATCCCCTAATAAGTGCAGAAGCTACTCTGCCATCCCTCGGAGATCACTTGGTTACAATTAAAATCTTACTGTGCTATCAGAAGCTCAAAGCCCTCTTTGCACAGCTTCATTTCCTCAGAATACTTCTCATGAAAGGCAAAAACGTAACAATCAGCTTTGCTCTGAGGCTGCAAGGCCTTCCTGGGAGAAGCAGTAACTGCCAGGCTCCGAAACCTGCTCTGTATCTTCACCATTCCCTTGTCAGCACTACATTTCTCTGGGCCAGTCCAGCTCTTGGGAAACACAGAGGACTTAACATGCGTGGATGCAATCCTCGTTCGTTGTCTCACTAAAGCATAGAATCATAGAATAGTTAGGGTTGGAAAGGACCTCAAGATCATCAAGTTCCAACCCCCCTGCCGTGGGCAGGGACACCTCGCTCTAAACCATACCACCCAAGGCCTCGTCCAACCTGGCCTTGAACACTGCCAGGGATGGAGCATTCACAACCTCCCTGGACAGCCTGTTCCAGTGCCTCACCACCCTAACAGGAAAGTGGACTGTAGTGACAGGACAAGGGATAATGGGTTAAAACTTAAACAGGGGAAGTTTAGATTGGATATAAGGAGGAAATTCTTTCCTGTTAGGGTGGTGAGGCACTGGAATGGGTTGCCCAAGGAGGTTGTGAATGCTCCATCCCTGGCAGTGTTCAAGGCCAGGTTGGATGAAGCCTTGGGTGATATGGTTTAGTGTGAGGTGTCCCTGCCCAAGGCAGGGGGGTTGGAACTTGATGATCTTAAGGTCCTTTCCAACCCTAACTATTCTATAATTCTATACCAGGGATCTGCTTACTGCAGAAACAAGCCAAGGAAATTAAAAAACTTCCAGGAACAGAATCCATTGGCACACCAGAACACTTAAATTTAACATAATTTTATCCTATGGTACTTGAAAGATTTGCAGTGATGGCTTACAAGAGTTATAGCAGAGTAAGTATTATTCTTCACAGAGATTATTCCTTAGCCACTTTAACATCAATTTCTTAGCATGTTTAGTCAGCATCACAGGTTACTGTCCTACCAGGAGCTGCTACACCAGCATGCTCTGGATGAGTTTTAGGAAAGCTGTACCCTAAGAATATGGCTTCTGAAGTTACCCAGAGCAGGTGCTCCAAGGCACTTGTTTTCCCTTCAGCTCACATTGAAGTTACTTCTCCCTTTCCCTCCTCCTAGTTATCTACCTTAATTCCTGAAGCCAAACACAGCATACATCATGTATTACTGCAGACTAGCATTTCTTAACTTCCATTCAAGAGTATGCCATCAACATTTCTATCATTCACTTTTTAGCACATTCCTGGATTTAAACTTGAGGCTGCTGTTATCTGCTAATTCTCCTTAGAACATTTTATGTTCTAAAACATATTATGTTTTTTTACACAGAAGTTTATCACAAATCCCCCAAATAGACAGGAAAGGTGCTTGTACTAGTACCATGATAACATGTAACATAGAAGAGACCTCAAAGATGGGAGTGCCGACGCTATGCAGTGTGCATCACCTGCCTGGTTTCTGTACTGACCATTTCTGTGCTCACAAACTAAAACCAGTTCTTAAGGGCATTCAGAAAGACTCTGTTCATAGACCTTTATCTGAGACAACTGATGACCACCTTTCCCTTCCAGAGGCACTGGAAGCTCACAGAAAGCAGTACAACCCAGTTCCTTCCAAACATACCTTGAACTTCATGGAGGTAAGTCTGTAGAGGATCTCGCTCATGTTCTCTCGGATGATGGACCACGTGATTTTATTGTCACTCTGGGCTGTGGTTTCTACAGCACGGCGTGCCATGTCATAGAATGCAATCATATTGGAAAGCATTCCCACTGTTTTGTAGAAAGGGCAGAACCTGATGGGACGCAAAAGGATTGATCAGGCATCATGTCACAGTTAACAGGAGTTCAGCCTTCACAACTCTGAGTTCTCACCTGACAGAAGGGGCACTAGCCTGCTTTACTCAAGGCATTTTGAATATACCCTGTCGAAAGACATGTTTTTAAACAAGCAAATCATAGGCTAGGACAATCATACTGGAGGGAGGTTTCTGAAGTAGCACCCAAACACTGGGCAAAACAGGAGAGAATAGGAACTATGGCTGCAGAAAGTCTCACTTTTCAATCTGTGCC